GCCGTCGCGGCGAGTTGGCCTGTGCGAAAAGCTGACTTCACCATACTCGTGTCCGTACCGTGTGGTGCGCCAAGTCACCGACATAACATATGAAATTAAACCTCTTAATGCCACCAGCGCGCGATCGTGTTTCGACGTTGTTCACGTCACTCGGCTGAAGCGATTACTCGGACCAACCATGCACCGAGACGGTGCCTTCGCTACCGGGGGTGATGCTACGGGGTGATGCTACGGGGTGCCACAAATGAACATTGTAGGAAAGAGGACGATGTTTAGGACGACCTCTTGCAGACTGGGCTCCATATTGTATGCCTCCCTGTTTACCAAAATCAAGAGGTATTTTTCAGACGCCTTCTCCCCCGTAACTATATATATATATATATATATATATATATATATATATATATATATATATATATATATATATATATATATACACATACATCCGACTTTTGCCTATCCCAAGTTTCCTCTTCAATGCTTTGACACTTCCTCCGTTTTTCAGAGCGTGTTCAATTCTCTCCATGTTATACCTTCCTACATCGCATACCTTACGTCTATTAATCAACTTCGAAAGATCTGCCAGTTCTATTTTGTCTGTTGTATTTGACACTTTCATGATTTGACGCTTCTTAATTAAGTTAATGTACAACAACCTCGGCAAGGAGCAGCGCTTCGAGATAGGTAATAGTGCACTTGAAGTTGTAAAAGACTATGTCTACTTAGGGCAGGTAATAACCGCAGAGCCGAACCACGAGATTGAAGTAACTAGAAGAATAAGAATGGGGTGGAGCACATTCGGCAAGCACTCTCAAATTATGACAGGTAGATTGCCACTATCCCTCAAGAGGAAGGTATATAACAGCTGTATCTTGCCGGTACTTAGCTACGGAGCAGAAACCTGGAGACTTACAAAGAGGGTTCAGCTTAAATTGAGGACGACGCAGCGAGCAATGGAAAGAAAAATGGTAGGTGTAACCTTAAGAGACAAGAAGAGAGCAGAGTGGATTAGGGAACAAACGGGGGTTAAGGATATCATAGCTGAAATCAAGAAGAAGAAATGGACATGGGCAGGGCATGTAGCGTGTATACAGGATAACCGCTGGTCATTAAGGGTAACTGACTGGATTCCCAGAGAAGGGAAGCGGGTCAGGGGGAGACAGGAGGTTAGGTGGGCAGATGAGATTAAGAAGTTTGCGGGTATAAATTGGCAGCAGCAAGCACAGGACCGGGTTAACTGGCGGAACATGGGAGAGGCCTTTGTCCCGCAGTGGACGTAGTCAGGCTGATGATATATATATATATATATATAATGTGTGTGTGTGACGCTATGATGTATTGGCGACATGGCCTGGCTCATACCCCATGTTTATTCTAAAAGCACTTCTTCCTCCTCGGCTTCTACCAACCATCGCTACCTACATACGTCACATGATTCCCCCTCCCCCCGAAAGAAGGCATGAGTTACAACTTACAAACAAGAAAAAGTAAACAAGGAGTGGCTTGGAAGTCACCAATGTCAAAATAAAGAGGTAGTCTCACAAATGTTAAAATGCACGTGTTGTCTTCTTCGTCGCTAAGACTTGAAGGGAGAGTGTGGCAGTCCGGTGATATCAATAAGAGATCTGGCGGGCGTGTCTGATGGTTGCTTCCTGGATAACACAAGAATGCTTTGGACGTGGAGACTGATGAAATAGCTGGCATTATTGCGAAGAGTGGACGCTGTTTAAAAACGCTGCAGTAGATCGGTCTTCGGCGTCGCTGTCTTTGCTGCGTGTGTGCTCGTTGTCGTAAACTGGTGACTTCTTGTCTTGTTCGGTGTTTCCCGAGGTTTCGGAGCTGTAATCTTAGGCGCAGTCTTGATCTTTTGTGCCAAATGCGTTTCTGGCGCCGATCCCTTATGCGCAGATGCCTCGCTTCTTGAATTTGTTTTAAGAGGCTGACTTTGCGTCGTTGTCCTTGTCGGTGTATCCGTTCGAGTGTCTGCGATTCTTGGACTTGCTTTTGCTGGCATTGCTGATGTTGCTGTGGAACGCATTGCGGTGAGATCCCTTCTTGAACATCGCGCTCGTTTTCTTCACAACTTGATGTGGGGCCCAGTCGGCAGCTGGTAGTTTGTGGGCTGTTGTCATGCACTTCGGGCAATGAAGATAATGCTTAAGAATTGGTAGAAAGTTCTTCAGAAGCTTCTTCTACCCTGTTCACAATAAGAGGGTCTTGCGCATTGCAGCGTGCGACGTTCGATGCGTCGGAGCATTCGGTGTTTCTTCCACTGTCGAGTGTGTATGGACTGGATGGCGATGCATGAACCCGTGTGGAAGGAGCATGGCTCGACAGGGTATTTTCCCGATGCGCCAGGTCATCTACCATAAATACGGCGGCCTTATAAGGCAAATGGTGAGCGTTAGGAGCGCTTGAAGAACCGCGTGATGAAAACCCAGGTGGTGGACCACGTATGCCAGACGAAGAGTGAACGGCATCAGGTGGTTGGGCAACGTCTCGGGGTCATATGCTGAAGCGAAGACTTCGCAAATGCCGACTTTCGTGCAGAAGGGAGGCGCGCTCGATGGCTGTGTTTTTCCCAAAATACGCGTTGTCGTCTGCCACTGAACTCGTGTGCCACTTCGTCTTTTGTCAGAGGTCGAATCTTGTTGTGCGTTCGAATGGTTGAAGACTGCCTGTAAAATTGACGACTGAGTGCAGTTGTCTGTGGATGGTGGGTTACAAGCAAGTCTTCGTCGTAGTCGTCATCGTATTTTTTAAACCAAACGATCATTTTTTGTTTTATCTTTTGCCAAGACTCATCGTTGTCGAATATGTGGGTGAGGTAAAATTTCAATGCCTCACCGGTGACGTAGTCGCTGAAGTTCGTAACAATTTCCCGTTCTGACCAAGATGCAGCGGTAGCGTGGAGTTCGAACAGGTCGAACCAGTCCTGTACAGGTCCATCGTCCGCTGCTCCGGTGTACTTGGGGATGGGAAGGTCGATCGATGATTCTGTCATGGTGCTGGTCGCTGTGTGCAGCTAGGAGATTATTCCGTAGTCGATGTATGGTCAGGGCGTCTTGTGTAGAACTGCGTCGATGATGAGACACTGATGAAGTGGCGGGGAGGTCTTCATCCTGTCGACTCGTGTGACGCTATGATGTATTGGCGACGTGGCCTGGCTCATACCCCATGTTTATTCTAAAAGCACTTCTTCCTCCTCGGCTTCTACCAACCATCACTACCTTCATACTTCATTATATATATATATATATATATATGTGTGTGATACTAATAGCCAGTAATAGATGTCCCGCTATAGTGGTTTGTAGTGCAATTATACAGTTTTATAAAATAGACAATTAAACTACACAAATAAAATAAATTAAAACACAGAGCACACACATAAGGTGCAGAAAACACATTGTGTGCTGCATGTGTTTAATTCTTTGTTTCAACATATCTTTGGCCAGATTAAACTTGTCTACTGTACCTATGAACCAACTAGACATACAACATGCCTTACCTACAGGAACTCGCTGCGCATATTTCACTGTGAGAAGGGAGCAGTGTACGAAAGCCACATTAATACAGTGAAAGCTCGTTAATTTGAACTTCAATAATTCACATTTATGGATAATTCGACCTGTAAGTTGTGGTCCGGCCTAGCTCCTTACAAGCCTATGAATAAAAAAAGCCCGTTAATTCGAACGTGAGTAGGTTCGCCGCGGATAATTCGAACTGCGTGCCACCGCACCGGCGGCTTGGCTAGTCACTCTATTAATGACATGTAGGGTTTAACGTCCTAAAACCAACATATGATTATGAGAAGACGCTGTAGTGGAGGCTCCGGAAATTTCGACCACCTGGGGTTTTTTAAGGTACACTCAAATCTGAGCACACAGGCCTACAGCATTTCCGCCTCCATTGAAAATGCAGCCGCCGCAGCCGTGATTCGATCCCGCAACCTGCGGGTCAGCAGCCCAGTACCTTAGCCACTAGACCACCGCGGCGGGGCTTGGCTAGTCACTCGATCAGGCGGTTGCCGAGTTACGAGGCGGTGTTGACAGGGAGCGGAGAGAAAAACGGAGAAGCTGGCACGAAGGCCAGAGAGCAGAAAATAGCACCACTTACTCTTCACCCCCCTTCCCCCCACAATCTCTCTCTCTCGGCGGCTGCCTGCTCTTCGTCCTACGTAACCTCCAAGATTCGTTTTTTTTTTTTTTTTTAAGCACCAATCTCGAAGCGTTTGAAAATTCTGCGTAGTTGTCGCTGTTAGACAACAGATGGCATGACCAGCACACAGCAAATCGGGTGCGTCGTAGCCCGACTGTCCCGATCGTTTGTGTTGTGGTGTTAGGCCTCGGCTAACGTTTGTAGCGGTAGCACCGGTAGTAGCTTCCCATCTGTCGCGATTGTGCTGCTACGACTTGAAGGCGTGTGCCCGCGGCAAACACCGTGCTAAAAAAGTTCCTTCCAGCAAACACTACAGCGGTACTGCAGCCCATGGACCTGGGTATAATTAAAAATTTAAAATCATTTTATCGGCGTCATATGTTGGAACGAATTATTTTGTGCAATAACTATCAAGTGACTCTCCTAAGTGCACTACACATGCTTATGCGTGCTTGGGAGCAAGCAACAGCGCTTACGATAGCAAATTGCTTTCGCTACTGTGGCTTCAGCACCGAAGCTCTGCAAGCTAATGAGCCACCAGTGCTCGAACACGTCGTCACCGACCCCATGACGGACGTATTGGAAGACGTCTGCTTTGCGGACTACGTCGATGTGGACTCAAGTGCAGTGGTGTGTGGTGCAATCACAGATGGCGACATAATATGTCAGGTGAGAAGTGCAGAACCTGTCGCTGCCAGTGACGATGATGAGGAGGAGGACGAAGCACACCAGTGCGGCCCTCTGCTGCGGAAGTCATGGCCGGATTGAATGCCGCCCGTCTTTTCTTAGGTTTTGAAGCAAAAAGCTCTGGCTGTCGCCTTCAAGGAAAGAAGGCAGACCGCGATCAGATTTTTTTCAAAAAATAAATTGTTATGCTTTACTCGCAATGTGCTATTGTTCTTCACTTTCGTTAATTCGAACTGAGGCAACTTCCCCTTGCGGTTCGAATTAACAAGTTTTTACTGTATGTGAATTGTCTGAGCACAGCATTCGGTATGAACATGGTATGTTTTTTAATTATGGTTTAAAATGTTTTTCAGGTTGCATGGAGAAATGCATCTCTTTATAGTAAGTTCAATTAGAGCCACAAAGAGACTGTCATGGCACTGTAGGGAAGGTTTTCTGCAGAAGCTGCTTGTGTAGGCAAAGGAGTAAGCACAACACCATGAGTTGTAGAGAAGTGAATAGAGTTATGCTGAAAGACGGGCTACTTGGTACGTATACACGGTAGTAACGTTTTCTAGCACAGACTGACACGCCACAAAGCGCTGGTGTCAATCCCTCTCTTTGTCCGTGTGTCAGTCTGCACTAGAGAAGAAAGTTATTACAATGTAATACACTGAGACAGGCTGTTTTTGCTAGGTATAAACAGGCTATTATATAGCCTGTTTGAATTATTAGTGCAAGTCAATTTGTTTTCTGTGCCTAACTTATCTGCCTTTTGTAACAGGAAGATACAATTTCAGTCATAACAGAAAGGGCATTCAAAGAAAAATATTTCATTCACAAATATTATGACGCCCGCCATCTCTGTACCTGCCACATACCTGGTACACGGGAGACTTTCTACCCACCTAGGCTACCGTCAATCATCAGGTCACCTAAACTACTGTCCAATATACAACCACCATCCATTATTTATCCACCATCCATCCATTCATTGTATTTTAGAGACACTATATCTCATTGCCACATTTAATGCAGGCTGTAATCATTTCATTGTTGGAGACTGAGCCCTATTGGGAAAATGGTAATAGTAAGCATGGTAGAAACCACCATAGTGGACGGTGAGATATACCTGCAATATACAGTCAACAACCACCAATAATTAGAGTTTAAAGAAAGAACAAAAAAAATGAAAATGATATTTACAGGGTAAACAAAGAACCTATGCTAAGCATAATGTGACAACCATAAAAGATGAATAACAAAATAACCTTAGCTTGCACCAACAGTGACCCGCACTTATAGTACTGCAACTTTGAGAAAGAGTCCATGCAAACAAAGTGTAGAAACGAACTACACAGACGTGTGCCACTGCTGTCATTTCTGCGTCCAGAGAGTGCACGAGCAGCACCTGGCCATCAGGGCTGACTCAATCACACATAGTTATGGACATGTAGTGCAATGCAAAATAGAGCCACATGCATAAACTGTAGCGAGGCATGCAGATGGCAGTGCTTGCTATTTCCTGGTGTCACAGAAGACTGCTCTGCTCAAAGACGTTCCAACTCTGCAGCTGCACAGGCACAGATGGCTTCTCACTTGGCGATGCTGGCAGTCGTGGAAGCTCCCGGAAAAGCGGTGCTGCTTCCACGCACTGGGAGGACTAGGCACAGCAGCTCGGCTCATGTCAGAAGACAAAGACTGCTCTGCTCAAGGATGTTCCAACTCTGCAGCTGCACAGGCACAGATGGCTTCTCACTTGGCGATGCTGGCAGTCGTGGAAGCTCCCGGAAAAGCGGTGCTGCTTCCACGCACTGGGAGGACTAGGCACAGCAGCTCGGCTCATGTCAGAAGACACGGTCGTGGTACTGGCCATCTGAAGCTGAAGGCACCTTGGGTGGGTGGTGGGGGCCCTGTGGAGGTTGTTGCTGCATTACCCGACGCCGTGGGGGTGCCAGGTACTCGAACATTGATTGAGTGTGCTGAGACAGCATCTTGCCCAGGTCACACGGCATTGGGTCCGTCCAGAAAAAGTCGTGGTTTAGTGCACTGTCGCTGTCACACCGTTTGCTTGGGTCCAGGTGCAGCAGCTTGTCCAGCAGGTCCAGTGCATAAGGGTCCTTGACATATGCCTGCAAGGCATATGTTATGAGAATTGCAACTTGAGCGAGTTGGTACGGATTCATCTTGATTTTAACAGCGCACTGGGAAACAGGGACTAGAAGAAAAGTAATGATGATGATGTGTGGTGCTTTATGGCACAGGGGCCAATCGATGGCCAAAGAGCGTCATTTCAGTGAATAGAGATGTCGACAATGATATGGTGCATGGCTGTATAGGGGCCTTAAAATTCCTCGCGCTAACGCGGGTAAAAACACAAGTATTGAAATCATGACAGTGGCGTGATACGTATAGTAAAAATGGGTGTCAAAGTGTTTTGACACTAAAAGCATGTGTAAAAATATTTGGCACTAGCACAAGTGCCTCATCAGCGCCCTTGTGTCTAACGGCCGCGAGACAAGTGCTTTTCAATGTAGCCATCGCAGCAGCAACTTCTCTTGAGAGGTCGCGCTAGGCAATGCCTGGGTATATTACATGGTAGAAGCAGACATATCTTAAAAAAGCCAGCAACGATTTAAGAGTGAAAAGTGGTTCCCTACTGACGAACATTGCAAGGTGTAATGGTATATGTTGTCGGTAGGGTAATGGAAAGTGTTCTCTTCTTAGAGTGTCTAATTGTTCACACTAGATTAAAATGTGAAGAACTGTTGGTGCTTCACTACATTTGTCACACAATGGTGGATCGCCACCGGACAAAAGATATGAGTGTGTCGTGTATGTGTGTCCTATCCTGAGTCTCGTTAATGTTACCTCTGTACGACGTGATTTTGATACTGGCGGCCAATGGCCAAGGTGTGGCTTAATAACATGTAGCTTGTTTTGTGTACGTCTATCCTACTTGCTCTGCCACTAGTCACTGAGCTTTTGTTTTAGAGACGGCTTAAGATCAAAGGCCGGGATTGATATTGGTGTAGTAGCAGTGCTTTCGTGGACGGATGCAGCAAGCTGATCCGCCATGACGTTGCCTTGGATCTCATGGTGCCCTGGCACCCAGCCCACTACAACATGTTTGAGTGTGTAGAGTGTGCATATAATGGAGTAAAGTGAGACAAGGACAGGGTTTTTTTTTTGTTTTTTAAGAGTGTGCAGAGTTGTTGCCACACTGAGGGAGTTCGTTTAAATTACTGCTTTTAGTAGTCGTAGTTGTTTGATGTGTTTAGCGGCCACAGGTATCGCATAAGCTTCCGCTGCGAAGATACTTGTGTCTGGATGTAGAGGGCCAGCATCCGAAAGGAATGGGCCGACAGCAGCATAGGACACAGAGGAGTTAGAGGCATCTGTAAAGAATTCAGGATGTGTGTATTATGTTCAAGTTCCAGGAAGTATGTTCGGATGTGGGCAATAGGCGCATGTCTTGTAACTTCTAGGAAAGACACCTCGCAGTCTATCATCTGCCACTGCCACGGTGGCGGGTATACTACAGGGGCCATTAAAGTGTTCAAGTGACACTACAGTTTCCTCAGCTAGACCCTTCAGGCGAACTGAGAAGGGCTGCCTCGTCGAAGGTCTGTTTTGAAACAGAATGGAGCTCGACAAATCATCAATAGTAGAGTATGAGGGGTGCTTCTTGTCTACTTTCACCTTAAGAAAATATACAAAGAACATGTAAGTTCTTTGTAGATGAAGCGACTATTCATTTGACTCACAACGTAAAGGCTTTCTACAGGGCTTGTGCGAAAAGCACCCGTAGAAGGGCGGATGCCCAAATGGTGCACGCGGTCGAGCATCTTCAAAGCACTTTGAGTCGCAGACTGATAAACAACGGCTTCATTATCTAAGCGGGTGTGACTAAGACTTCTATACAAATTCATGAGACATTGCCTGTCACTGCCCCATGTAGTATGTAACAACACTTTTAGAAAATTCATGGCTTTTACACATTTTGTTTTTAAATACTTGTGCGGTATGAAGATTAGCTTGTGGTCTAAGATTAGGCCTAAAATCTTATGCTTGGCATTAACAGGCAGACCATGACCATTCAGTTGAATGTCAGGTTCTGAGTGCATGCCTCTTTTTCGGGAGAACAAAACGTGTTTTTTTTTGTGGGTTCAGTCGGAATACATTTTCTTTTGCTTATTTGGGAACCTCGTTTAAGCCTAGCTGAACCTGCCCCTCACACATTACCAGGTTGCATGACTTAAAGCCAAGCTCTACGTCAACAACATATGTACAATATAACATACTGCGGGGAATAGACAGGTGCAAGGAATTCATTTTGATAATAAATAGTGTACAACTAAGTACACAGCCTTGTGGTACTCCCGTTTCTTGAACAAATGTTTGAGAGAGAACACTTCCCACACGGACACGTAATGTCCGATTGGACAAGTAACTCTCGATTATGGAAAGTATTCCATCGTGCACACTCAGGCGAGACAAGTCTATTAATATGCCAGAACGCCATGCTTTGTCGTAAGCCTTCTTGATATCGAGAAACACAGAGAGGAAGTATTGTTTGTGGACGAAAGCGTCTCAAATCTCTGCCTCGATACGCACCAGATGGTCGGTGGTGGATCTACCCTCTCGAAACCCACAATGAGATTGGTTGACCAGATTGTGTTTCAAGAAAACCTAAAAGTCGGCGGTTTATCATCTTTTCAAAAAGTTTACAAAGGCAGCTTGTAAGTGCAATGGGCCTATAACTCGAAACTGGGGAAGGGTCCTTGCCCTCTTTTAAAATGGGAATAATTATAGCCTCTTTCCAGGAAATAGGGATAGTGCCAGAAAACCAGATAGCATTGTACAAGCAAAGTAGGGTTTCTTGCGTTTCGATTGGTAGGTTTTTCAACATTTCATACACCACATAATCAGAACCTGGGGCGGAATGACTGCAGGAGTTTAGTGATGTTTGGAGCTCAGCTAAGCTGAAGGCTTGGTTGTATGCTTCGTGTTTTGTACATTTGTGTTCTAGTTTCTGCTTTTCAATCCTTGTTTTGTATCTTTGGAAGACTTCACTATAGTGTGACGAGCTGGACACTTTTTCGAAGTGTGCGCCGAGAAAGTTTGCTCGATCTTCCAAGCTGTCACCTTTGTGTGTTTACGAGAGGAAGTGAATGTACTTGTCTTCCGGCTATTCTCCTAATCATGTTCCAGACTTTAGCTTCCTGTGTATATGAACTGATACCCGATATAAAGTTGTGCCAACTTTCACTTCTGGCCTGTTGGTGCATCCTCCTTCCTTGAGACTATGTTTTTAAAATTTGTAAGAATCTCCGCTCTCGGAGAGTCTCTAAGCAGCTTCCATGCTTTATTTTGCTTTCTACGTGCATTCCGACACACACTGTTCCACCAAGAGACGTGTCGCTTGATGGACCGTCCAGTTCGTGGGATACACTGTGTTGCAGCATCAATAAGAAGTGCTGTTAAAAAGTCTACAGCTGCATCTATACTTATTTCACATATATAGAACCAACTTAGGCGACTAGCTTCTCTGAATTTTTTCGAGTCCACTTTGTCTGTCTGTCATCTGGGAACATGTGGAGGACCTTTTTCTGGTGGTGTACTTAAAATGATCGGAAAGTGGTCACTTCTGAAAGGATTGTTGATCACTTTCCATTGAAGCAGGGGTACAAGCAATTGGGACACAATGCTGACATTTATGCACGAGTAGGTTTTGTTGGCGGGACTAAAGTATGTTGGCTCTTTCTTATTCAACAGACTCGAACCCGAAGAAAAGAGGAACTGTTCGATTAGGCGACCTCGTGCATCGCAGGGAGAGTCACCCCATAGACCATTATAGTCACCCCATAGTGCCCAAGGACCACATAAGGTTCCTGTAGTTCATCTATCAGTGGCCAAATTGCTGGCACTTAAAACAACGTCGCGGGTTGGGGATGTAGGATCAGACCTTTAACTTCAAGTAGCCTGTTTCGATATATTATGAAAGTGTGCTTGTACAAAATGCAAGAATGAGGTGCTTTGTTGGTGTTTCTTTATTGTCACGCCTAACCTTAATTCTCTCTACATGCGTTACGTGCTGTTCGTTCCAGCCCTTAAGGAGCTAGCTCACTCTCTGCCAGGTTATTTAGGTCTTGATCAGATACTACGCCTCGGGAACTGTTCAGGGAACGGTATGATGTGATAGATACAGGTGTGGTTCCAAAAGAGGTGAGTGTTGCCAGGTTTTTATACTGGGTCTTGGTTTGGACTTCGAGAAGAAGGTTCCCACTAGCCATACGTGTAGCCTGATACCCTGGACCAAGGGTACTGGTGAGGCATTTGGAAACGACAAACGGAGAGATGGTGTTTGCGTTATTTTTTTGTGTTTCACAGTCTATCACATGGAAGCGCAGGAAAATTTCTTTTGGCTTTATGAATACATTCAATGTTGCTTCGGTGCGCCCCCTTTTAGGAGGAGGGCGATCGGACAGTTTAGGAAATGAGAAAGAGGCCATAAAGTATATATGAATTCGGCAGCCATGCCAGCCGCCTACCATCAAGCCCAACATGGGGACGCAGCAGCACAATTACAAAGGCATGCCAGCGCCAGCTGTACAAAGCCACTATAACCCAATAATATGTGACCAAGAGAGGGCACATACACAAGGTTAACCCTTGCCGCCTGGAAGATGGAAGTAAACAGAAGTGAGGAGATGACAGCAAAGATTGGAAGAGAGAAAAGACGAAGATGAGGACGGAGAGAGAGACAGGGAAACGCGACTGCCGTTTTCCCCTGGGTGGGTCAGCCTAGGTGTGCCGTCTACGTGCCCCCCCTGTTAGCTCGGGTCTGTGGTGTCGCTACACACCAAATGCCTGATTACACAGACGCCCCTGCCGGGAGAAGAAAAGTAAGGGCACAACACAGCACACTGGGAAACAGGGACTAGAAGAAAAGTAAGGGCACAACACAATGTGGAAATATATGAGTGCACAAGGTAGAAGGAAAAGCACTTGACAGGAAAGACGCTCACTTACAACTGAAATTTTATTAGAAAACATTCATTGCACGAGAACACAAATGCGCAGGCAGGACCAACTATCACTTCAAGGTTCCACCCCCTCCCCTCTCCCC